TGGGAAAACTGCCAGGGATTAAAGGCCTTGTGTCTGGCTCTCAGGGGAAACGTCGTTTCAAGAGCGAGCTCTCCGTGGACATGATCAGCCCTCCGCTGGGTGACTTCCGTCACACTATGCATGTTGGTCGTGGCGGGGACGTGTTTGGTGACACTTCCTTCCTTAGTAACTACGGGGGCATCAGGGAGCCAGGAAGTCCAGACTCAGCAAACAGCTCGAAGACAACTGGGTTCTTCACACGTACCTTTCGGCATGTGCGCAAGAACTCTGGGGCGCGGCCGCGAGGGGGCTCCCGTGACTTGTCCCCCCCACCACCAGACATCTCACCCATAATCAAGAACGCCATCTCTCTGCCCCAGCTGAACATGGACTCCCCCAATGGGTGCAGACAGAGGGTGCTGTTTCCCAGCTCCATCAGCTCAACAGATGACGCCTTCTGCACATATGGTGAGATAATACAGTAATTACTTCCAGCATGGGGCAGGGTTTATGTTAGTACCAACTTCATCTTCATTAAAATACAAAAATCATTTGAAAGAGCTGAAGAAGTAAAGGTTGGATATAACAACGGTTAGTGTTTACAGGAAGGAGATGGAACAAAGTGAATGTGTAAGTTTAGTCGAGTGGTCCACAATTCATTTTTTCATTAAAGCCTTGAATTACATAGTATATTTACTGTGGGTTTTTATTTAGGATAAAAAAACAATGACTGCAATTGCAAAACAGAATCAACAAACCAATTCAAACAATGGGTTTTGGGATGTTCATATAAAATTATTTAAATAAATAATAAAAAACACAAATGAGATCATAATCACCATAGATCATATTCATTAGCAAGGCTCAGAACATCACTCTGAGATCAAACAGAGCATGTGTGTCTGATTTGAAATGTCAAGATCCTGGAAGAGGCATATGGGTAAGAGTATTTTGTTTTATTTTGGTATCTTTAGGTTACAGTAAACTCAGAGGCAGAATGATCAATGACCTAGGTATGGGCTGCAGCCGAGTGGTAGAGCAGTTAGGCATTACTCACCATTAAGGGGGGGGAGTGTGGTGGACTATATCATGAGAGATGCAGTTCTGACTATACACTCTCCAGCAGACCAAACAGAATCAAGAGCTGCTGGGCTGACTTGGTGCGAACAGGACTATAAATGCCAGTGAGCACAAAACAAGAGAGGGGTCAGACTGCCCTCTCCCTTTCAGCATCGTTCCCACATTCCTCCAAGACAACCAGCAAACAGGCTTCTTCTGAGTCATCTGGAGTCACCTAGGCAACACCTGTACACAATTAGGTCAATAAACACAAATGCACACAGCTGGTTTGGGAGAAAGAAATATACTTAGTAGTATATATATATAGTGGGCATTTCCTATCATCTAAATGTGGCTGTGTCACTGCCTGAATGAGCAGCACAAATACCATTCATTGTATCTGCTAACCAGTCAGAGCTTATCAGGCAGCAGTGTGCTGAGTCCGGACTGGAAATCCCCTTTCTGTCTCCAGATTCCTTACCTAGTCCATAAGGAATTTTCCCAAACTGATTGATGTAGAGCTGGCATACAGATGGTGAACTGAAGGATGATGGGAGCTTCTTGTCATCAGTGGGTTTCTCAGTTTGTAATCATTATTTCCATCTTTTCATATATACACACATACATATACAGGAGTTTTTTATACAGATGTCACCATCCACTAATTTGCAGAGTTCAGTCTTGAAAATAAAGATAACTTCACTAAAAGTGAAAAATGAACAAGGTGTATTCCAAAGTAGAAAACTGTAGGCACCAGTTGAGTATTAATTGGAGAAAATGTGCAGCTTTACTGCAAAGGCTTAACACTGTAAAGAAAAACAAAAAGTAAAAACGGTAAAGTAAGTTATATACAATTTCTCTCAATGTGCTGTACAGATGTAACAGATGTGTCAATCACTCTTTACTGGACTGTAGGAGCACAGCAGGGATTTCTGACACAACTTCTATTGTTCATGAAGAAGGGAAAAAGTCTGAAGAGATAACTCTTGTAGAATAAAGAACAGCTTTATTACCAGACCAGACTTGTGGTCTTTATCAGGTCTTTACTGGACTCCTATCATGATACACCATGGCAATTCCTAGTTTCTAGTGATTTCACATTCATCTCTGTCTCTCCATCTATTGCCAGAGTTTGTAACATTAAGTCTGTCCAGGAGACAGAAATCTCCCTGCAGGATGTTTCAGTAGTGGATTATAGTGGATTATAGGGTTGTCACATTCTGCCACCCTGTGGTGAAAGAATGTAATTGAGATTTACACTTTCTATTTAACAGCTTGTACTTAAAGGTCCCACATTATTTCTTCTTGATCATTTTTAGAAAATGTATTACCGGTATGTCTCTGGTTAAAAATAATGTGTTTCAGTTTTTTGTCCAAACCCCTGCATTTTGCGTGAAGGTTGTACATCTGAATTTTGAAGACTATCAAGTCAATTTAATCAAAATATTGTAATGCAATAATGCAGTCCAGCTCAAGGTTACCAATACCTAGTTACCTAGTATTTAGTTCAGATCATTTTAGTGACTTTGGTGTGTCTGTTTGCAGGTCTGCAATCTGGGTTTGTCACGCTGCCCCGCCTCTCTCGCCTTGACAAACAGTTCCAAGATGTAGACGTCCGGAAAGGGTGTATACCAGACAGCGGTGGCATCACACTGACACGCTCAGAGTCCCTCACTTCGTTCACTGTAGACCTCGGCCCTTCCCTTATGACTGAGGTACTGAGCTTGATTGACAACCCCAGCTGCCTTCAGATGTCCAGCCAGGCAGCAGGTGATAAAGAGGAAGGCGAGGAAGAGGAAGAAGAGGATGATGGCTCTCTAACAGAGACGCCTGTGCAGAGCCCTGGGCTGAATTCACCCAACCCATCCATGGGGAGCGGGTCATTCAGCAGGAAGATGGACAACAGGGGGCACTCTTGTAGCTCTGACTGGACAGAAAAGGAGGAGGAGCGGTCCTGGAAGACACCAGATGTGTGCTCTGGGTCTCCTCAGAGAGTGGAGCCTGCCATAGAGGCAGAAAGGTTCCAGAAAGCAGCTGATGTGCTGTCTCGTCATTATGGCGGAGGGTCCTTTACAAAGGGAACGAGGATGAGCAGCGACACCACCTCTCCTGCTTTCTCCCACAGCAGCAAAACATCATATGCCTTTTCTGAAGAGGAAGAAGAGATCAAAGTCTAGATGTTGAAACTCTTAATGAAAGAGAGCACAAACTTCATTGATACAATAAAATCATTCAAATCTACCAGTGACTGAATTCTGGGTTCATTTCAGGTCAGAGAGGCTGAAAAATATGTACTATTCTGTTGTTCCTCCATTGAAACATTCTTACTCTTCTCACATGCATCTATATATCGTCATTGGGTGTCATTGATCAGCTACCAGATCCTGGTCTTTTTTGCAGGATAGATAGATGACGCTGAACTTGACCCTGGACGTTCCCCTCAATCTGCACTACGTTGCTGCCGTGATTTTATCCAGATTGTTTAAACCATTCTGAAGCTCTAAGTCACTGAATGAGACTTGTCAGGACAAAGTATTAATAATGACTTTTTTTAGTCAGTCAGTAACAAAGATTTTGTATGTCCACCTGCATTATTATATTCATAGCAGTTGACTAAATATACTGGAGAACAATGAACAATGACTTCTATTTTATTTTTATATTTTTTCACGCTGTACATAATCACTCACTACATAATCATGATGTTAAACAGCAAAATGTATTTTACATAAATAAAGCCATTCAGGTTCATAGGTCTGAGGCGTCAAGCTGAACCTGAAATTAGAGGTTTTGTAACAATTGTGTTAAAACCTCTGCACATAAATCATTTACAAAGCTTTCTGCAACCCCTAATCTAAATTGAAAACTGTTCATTATGTACTGATGTGTGGCATATTATTAGTACTGTTGCTAACCTGTTACAAAGAAAATGGAAATGTATAAATTAAACCTTTGGTAAATGGCTACATTTATATAGAGCTTTTATCCAAAGCTGTCTACCCACTGGGCCACAGACTAACAAACAAACAAACATAAAATTCCCTTTTATGAAATGTATCAGAATTTCCATAACTGCACATGTTCAACTATTCAAACTGAAAATGTTAACATCTAATAATTCGGGCACTACCAAACAAAACTTTCCCTTCAGCACAACATACCTCAGAACACAGTAGGATTAACTCTTCTGTTTCATTACCCTGAGAATCCTCACAATGTCAGACCCACTCTAAATGTTTGGTATGAACTCTTTTGTTTTGGAATTTTCTACACCATGCCAGCGTAATTTCTGTTCATTGCTCAAGGTATCTGTCTTCAGCTTCTTTCCTGTGGAGTAGAAAGAGGGCAATCTCACATTCTTCCCTCTCCTGAACTCACATAAGACCTTGCTGTGGATTGTCAGCTTTTTTAATTTTTGAATTGAATTGAAATCTTTATTTCAAACATGCAAGGGAAAGTATATAAAAAAATGAAATAAAATAATGTTTAAAAACATAGGAGACAACAGCAAACAAAGTAGCTTACCCTTCTTTCCTGTGTTAGCAGGAAGAAGTAAAACGTATGTATTCCTACCCCTTTAATTCTTACATTCCTTCAATTTACAATATTTATATTTATTATTATTATGTTGTTATATACATCCATATGTATATTTATACATACATAAATACATACATACATACATACATATACATATATATGTATGTACATTCACATATACATACATACATATATACACATACACACATATTTTATTATATACACAATATTAAAATGACCACTGACAAGTATTTATTTATCTAACCTCGATTATGTACTTATTCAAACAGCAAAAAATACAACAAAAAAACAAAACAAAACAAACAAACAAACAAAAGACAAAAAACATAAACAAAGGAGCACTCCTACTTTTGCTACACTGCCTCTTGATACCTCCTGAAAACAATTTCTTTGTACTTTTTGAAAAGGGAAATGTTTGGCCATTGCTTTAGATTCTCATGTAGTTTGTTCCACAATTTAACTCCGCAAATTGATAAACATAATCTGTTAGTCTTAAAATTTCTCCTTCCCCTTAAATCGTACCCTCCCTCCCACTCAGAGAACATATTTTGTATATTCCCAGGCAATAGGCTATTTCTTGCTTTGGACTTCACATCAAAACAATAATAAAAGATGTAGTTTGATGACATATGAAGGATCATGAGAGTTGTTGTCTTCATCACCATGGCAGTCAGCTTCTCCTGCTTAGTGTTCAGTGTTTAGATCATTCAGGATTTTTGTACTTTGCGCCAAATTATCTGCAGTTATTTATTCTACATAGTTCTGGCTGTACAGGTTAGCAAGATAGGTTAGCTAGGGAAATTTTTATGTTAGTTTTTAAGGTACCTATCTGCACAGTGAATGAGCTAATCTGTGTGGTAAATAGCCGACCTAACTAATAAGCCTTCTTACCTGTGTTACTGCTAGCTCCTTCTTTTTTTCCCCTTTCGGATGTTACATCAATATTCTGCGCAGGTGGTACTGTAGCCTATACAGTGGTAATTCTATAATAATAATAATCCTATTTTAAAATCCCTCATATATTTAGATGTGATTGCAGATAAAGGACATTCGGCTATTAATTGAAGTTTTACGTAGTATACCATTAAACATTTACAAAGGTGCACACATCATCACCACTAAAGTAATAAATATTGTACTACCACATTTGAGGCTTTTTTTTTTATCTCACAGACTTATCAGTTTTCCCATGTCATGAATGAGCAGGTTTAGGGGTCCATTATGATGCAAGCCATTAATAATATAATAATAATAAATATATAATTCTCTGTTTGGGGCCATTCTGTTGTCTAATGAGTACTTAAATGGGTATTTTAATGTTGTTCCCCAGATCCCACCCACTCCACACAGGCGTACCAACCAACGAGTAGGAGTTGCTGGTGCATTGACAAGGATGTGATTACCTTTTGTTTGCCAATAAATTTGCCAGGCTGGAAACAGGTTGTTTTGTATAATTTTTAAATGTTTATTCACTTAATAACTAATGATTTACCATTCATTTAAAAGGTTTGTTCATAATGACTTTGTGAGTTTAATAGGCATACTTCTAAGTGATTAATGATACATCTATAAATGATATGCCGATCATTTACTAATGACTTGCTCATAACGTGTTCATGATTAAACAACCAACCACATAGGCTGAATATATCCTTTGGAGTCCCACTGGAGTGGACAGATGTATTTTCAGTCACAGAACAAGATGAACAAGAAATAAATAATTCAAATCTGATTAAAAGTGGTGCATCTCCTTTCCTTTCCCTCTATTTGGAATTTATGATGCAGTATATCAAAATGGCAGGGATGTAAAAGACCATAATCAAATGGAATTGTAGGCAACGCTTTGGGGGTCCATGATATAATAACTTGAATGTCTCAAAAAGGCTTCCAAATATCTGTCCACTGTTTTGGACATCATGCATGAAAGTGTTAAAATGTACTGATTTGCATACATTTGACAAGGCACTGCAGGTGAATAGGATAAACATAACAACTAAAGCATATCACCACAGAACTTCCCCAGTTAATGATTTACATCAAGTCTTTACATCGAGTCTTTTCTCCTGTAATGCATGTGATTAGATAGTTGTGGTTAATTTAGAAGAAACATTTTGGAAGTTTTATTTCCATTAGACTAAAGGAAGACATGGAAGCAAAATAAGTCAAAATCTCAAAATTGACCACTAGGCCTACATGAAAAAAATGTCCTACCCTAAACATTAACTTAATTAATGTGAGGCTCCTCATCTAATAATTATCTATCTACCAGCTATTATCTAGCTGTTTCATTGTACATGTACAATGACAATAAAGATTCTATTCTATTCTGCAAGTACAGTTTAGTGTAAAGATTGTTGACTTTGATGTCACGAGTCCCCGGCTGTGAGTCTGTGTGAGTTGTGTGTGGGGAGCTTGGTGTGTTTTTTGTTCGTCCGTCTCTGTTTGTTTCTCCCTCCAGTCTGGGGAGCTTGGGCATGTCTGCTGTGGGCTCAGCTCACACCTGAGAGCAGAGCTGGCAGCCATTAAGCGACCTTTGCCGTGGCATAGGGCCCCATGACGGTGAATGCTAATGCTAAGCTGGATTGCTAAACTTCATGCAAGCTCTCATTTCAGCCTCTCTCTTAAACAAGCATTAGATGCTCCTGTCTCTTTAAGCCCCCCCAAAAAAGCCCAGTGTGTTCTGATTGGCCGAGATCCTGAAGCAGGATGATTATGCCGCTCAGCAGTACAGACAGACTAAGCATAGGAGTTGTCAGCTGTTATTGAGGCAGCAGGCAAATTAGCATATATGAAAAACCAGCTCTGTATGACATCATTAAGAGTCAAGCTTTGGTCAAGAGTAGAGCTTTGGCCATGTTTAACATGAACATCTGACACTGAAACATTATACATAAGACAGAAAATATAAGAAGCCTAATAAGTCTCCTTTAATGTGTGTGTGTGTGTGTGTGTGTGTGTGTGTGTGTGTGTGTGCGTGCGTGTGCACGCACAGTTATGCATACATATGTACTGTGTGACAGAGAGATAGGTTGACAATGAGACTGTAACACCAACTCAAGCAGACCAAAGCAAATTATCAGCAAGCAGAAAGAAAAATATATTGAATACTGGAAAGAAACAACCAAAACACAAAGTAAATTACAATGTTATCTGACCCTAAAAAGAGAATTCACACTGGCAAATTACTTGAGTACAATAAAATGTCCCAAACTAAGAAAATGTTGACAACATACAGACTGAGTGAACAGGGACGTGCACAGACATTTTGGTGGGCAGGGGCTCAAGTGAAAAAAGGGCATTTATTTTTAAACAAGACAAATATATTAACTCAACAACATTTTTACTTTTCTACAAAATAATCGGTTCACACAGAGGCCAGAGCTTTTGTCTGTTAATCCGGAGGGCGATCTCAGTTGTAACGCCCAACACCTGTGTGCAGTTAGACTCATACTACTTCAGTGAAACCCTTCCCGAGGCACACCTACTCACCTAAAGCTGCCAGCTACAACTACACTCATCTATGTGCTGCTATACTATTCCTATTCTGGTCTCTGGTCCATGCAAGAGGTAACATGCCATCAGGCACAGAAACCAGGCACTCAAGCCTTTAAAACAGGCACCACCCACATCTGTTTACTTGTCTGTTGGGTCATGGAACTGCCAGTCGGCAGTCAACAAAG